TGTGTGTACATTAATGAGGAAAAAAATGAACTTAAATGATTTTAGCATATGGCTGCAATATAACAAAGAGTGAAAAATTTAAGGGGGTCTGAATACTTTCCGTACCCACTGTACAGTAAAGCTGTTAGAAAATGGTCAAACTTTATTTCAACCTGCATTTACAGATTTTTTGGGGCGTCACTTGGGGGCAGTGGAAACAAGTTGTGAACACAGCATTAACATATCTTCACCTCTTGGGGCAACATCTGGTTCTTGAAATGCTAAATGCTCCACTACTGTATATTCATCAGGTTTACTGCTTTACATTTGGTGCTGAGCAGGCAGTGCACAGTGGGCTTTTAGAGCTTTTTACTGTATCTAAAGACACTGTCAGCTTTAGCCATAAATAGCACTGTGAGAGCAGTGAGAGTGAACCAGAACAGTAAAGTTGCGGCCGGACAGCTAAACAGTGAGGTGAAACTCATTACAGTGCTCTGTAAAATCAAAGAAAGTTGCAGATTCAGGTGTTAATTCTCTGGTGATTTATCACTACTAATGAGCTTTCCCACAGTGCCACAATGTTTTCACAATGACATTTGATAGACTGCCACTGTAAAAACATATTATACAATAGCTGCTTTAAATAAAAAGATCATTTTAAAATCATTTAATCAGCGCAAACACCGATTCACTGGCAAATAACTCTATTATTACTTCTTCTTTTCTTTTTTAATATGTTTTTCCTCATATTATTATCATTATGATTGGATGTCCATCTTTGAAGAGTAATGTCAGGATTTTTCTGGCTGTTCCCATTGACATAATATTTTTGGGCCAATGCACATGCTATTTGTTTATACTTGATTTGCTCTCATGTTGCTTCAGGTTCTAATTGCCAGACCTTGTTTAAACCTGGAAAATGATAATAAAGAGGATTCAACCTAATGTGACCTGCCTTGGTAGCAGTTTTGCAATTCTTCTCCAAAAGAGGGGTTTATAATTTTATCTGCCCCATAATAAATTTACACAGCATGGGTAATTTGTTAATGCGATCTGTGAGTTACTAATTTTATTATAAGAAAGCTATAGTATGCATTCTTTGTTTCTGGAAGTATGCATGTAAATATGTACAGAATGTGCCTGCATGTTCCAATGCCTAACTAGCATCCTGGGTTTTTTATTCAGTATGTTTACAGCACCTGCACTCGTGGTGTCTCCAGAGGTCCACACAGACCAAGGGAGGAGTGCAGTGATGTTTCCGACAGGCTGCCGAAGAGCAGCCGACAGAGACGCCCTGTGAAGTGACCACCTGAAGCCCCTCTGAAGGCTGCTCCTGACCCAGGGGGATGGAGCGGCTGTTAAACCGCACATCTCGCAAACAGCCTGGTGGAGAGAGAGAAAAAAACAGAGTTTACAACGCCAAAACACAGCAGTCCTCGAGCAGAATCTTTTATGGCCACACGTTTACTCCTCAGCAGGGGCATCAACTCAAATACACTGACGCACCTGCAGACTAACATACATGCACGCTCTCCTGCATGCAAACAAACCAACAGCCTGAGGCTAAGCCAGCATGGACTTCTTTTTTGCAGGATATTTTTTCTGCTGGTTAGTTTTCTTGCTAAGTAGGAAGCATGAGGTGTAACACACAATTCAAAAACAGATCAAAGCTCACTGTCTTTCATCTGCTTGAAACTAAGGGATCAAAATACCTTTGCCAGGTTGTGAACTGTAGAAGCACCATGTAGAAGTGATAAATATAAGCCCAGAATCGTTTTGGTGACCATTAATTTTAACAAGTACACAATCCCACTTCTTTGAGTATGTTTGCCACTTAATTTGTTTACAAAATTACCTGTTAATTCATTCACCTTAACTGATTCTTCCACTTTACAGTTAATTCAGTCACTCACTTGTTTATCTTAATATCCATTCATTCAGTCCCATTCTACCAAAACACATAAGCAGCCACCCACCAAGGAAGCTCTGATTGTGTCCTGAGGGAAAAGAGTTTCCAAGCATCACCACAGAGGGGTCAATAATGATCTCCTGACTCCGACCAGGCGCGGCGGAAACCTCTCGCCGTCCTCCACCTCCATCTAGTCGCAGGGTGAACTCTCTGCCGTAACGATCCAACTCCACCTCGTGCCACTCTCCATCATCGAGGCGATGGTAGGGCAGTGTGATGTTGTAGTCTCCATCACCAAGGTTGTAGAAAACAGCCAGCAGACCCTGAATAACCTGCAATACACAGCAGTGCTCAACTAATTTGAAATTTGGACATTCAAACAGAGAAAGTATGAGAAAATATAGACAGTTATATTTTTGGATGGGCTTCTCATTTAGGGTGTCAAATTCTAAACTGACAGACCTAGACTTCTTCCATATTGTGTTATGTTGTTGGGCAACACCAGCCCTTCAGTATAACAACATTAAAAGAAGCAGGCCAGATTGTGTGGTGAAGTTGGCAAAGAACTGTGAATGTTACTACCCACAGAAGACTCTGTGGTGAACCTGACAAGTTCAGTGGTAAAAATGAATTCAGCACTTCTGCAGCCACAGTGCTTTGCAGCAATGCTGTGCACATCACTGCATGGCAGGGCCAAGAGTCATCCCAAAAGGAAGGCATGCAAGAAACAACAATTATCTTCAGGAGTTAAGGATGGGTGAACACAATGGACTTGACCAAGGAGGGGCCCGCAGCTTGTACATGTCCAAAGCTTAATTGGAAACTGTGGTGCAAGGTAATTCACATTCAACCCAACTCGCATTAACTACTGCTCCCTCAGCATGGGGATTTCAAATGCATCTGCCCCATTGGACACACACACACATTAAAAGCTGAGTGTGCTCTCTCCTTCAACCTTCCCTCAAGTCCACAGCAAAAATGAAGAAAAGACAAAGGACTCAATCAATACTCAGGAAAAAAATGTGATTCTATAAACTTTCTGCAGTGCACCAGAGACTGACACAATCACCATTAAGCAGAGAATGTTCATCTGAATTATTATAGAACTATTTAAACTCAGCTCAGTTTTACTGTTCTTAAGAGTTAGTAGTCTTTGACAAAGCAGTAAATGCCTGTCACCGCCCCAGCACCCAAAAGACTGCATTAGATTTATGTTTTCTTTACAGAGACACCATACTCCTCAGAGAGTTGTATGCTGTTATACCCAGCTAGCCTCTGGTAACCTCTGTGTGAAAGTGTGGTTATTTATTCATTGTGCACTCTATCCCATATCTACTCTTAAGAAAAAAGGGGAGAGAGACAACCCTTTAAATTAGGGCTTGTTGTTGGCAAACACACCAGGCTGGTGCTCAAGTGTTTCTAAGAGCTTTGACACAACCAGGCTGAAAATGCTTCAGCGTGCTGCCACAGACAGACATCAGATGGTTTATACAGCTCACCAATTCAGCTCCAGAGAGGCTTTCATAGTGTGAGGCTTCGCAGCCCACATACAGTGAAGGCTACAGCCTTTTCCTTTTCCTGTCACTGTAGGGCTGCAACAAAGGAAGTGGACAACATTGTTTTTCCTCACGTTGTATAAAGACCAAAAAGAAAAAAGATATCAACAGACGAGGGTGGTGCTTTAAACAATGCTTTCTAACAAATAACAAGTACAAGCATGAAGAGGAGACGTTTTCAAAGACAGATCAGTGGTGCAGGATACACCGCAACAGAGACAGGTTCACTGCACACAGCTGACCTGTGACCAGTCACCAAGAGTGACAGCCCTAACTGAGCTATTTACTTCCAGGTGCTGTTCACACTCGACCTGTCACTCAACGAGACGAAAGGCTTTGACGAGAGACATCGGCCTCATACCCACTCGGGAATGTGTCAGGCAGAAGAGGCATGGCATTTTGGAGCTGTGGCAAAGTGAAGTAGACTTGTCCCCTGAAGAAAGGCGTTGTGTGAACACCACTCCACCTCAGTTGTGACAAAGTGAGCAGCATGCATGTAGACATGACACTGAGCTCTCAGCTCTTGGAGCAAGCTGTGTCAAAACCCTCAAGTACAGAGAAGGGGATTTGACCTTCACTTAAGAGCACTCTGCCCTTGAATGACAGCACACACATTTGATTTCTTGTCATACTGAAGTGTGTGTGTGTGAAACATTAATCAGAGACAGAAATAACCTTGAATAAAGGAGGCCTAATTTTTTTAATAGCAGCCTCTCAATAGCTGCATTCTGCAGACTTACTAAAAGACCTTGTCAAGAACATACATATGTCAATCACCAGCCCCCTCAGTATCCACCCATATGTCTCCAACCCTGATATTACTCACTCTCAGCCTGACAAAGATTTGCAGGATTCATTGTCCGAGCACTTATCATCATTTTAAGGCTCACAACAAGACAATCAGAGCTGTTGAGGTGGTGGGGAATGACCAGCCATGACTCACCTCTAAACGTAGATATTCATTCTGCTCCTGGGAGAGGAGGCTGAGAATGACACCGGTGCCGGCACGTGTCCGAACCCCAATTTGGACTCTTGTCTCTCGCGCGGGCAGGGACCACAAGAGCTGGAACTGAACGTGGCTCCGGCCATCAAAGGACAACTCAGGAGAGACTTGTCAATCAAAAACACATTTAACAGACTCGTTCATTTCATTCAGTTGTCATATGGGAAATACACAGAGAGGGCGTGACATTCTGCTGAAGTGCTTTATGTAAGGCAAGACTGTCTCCCTTTGAGAGCACAATGATATTCTGGAACACAGAATTTCACATTCGGTCTGTACAGATTGTGAAGCTTAAAAGTCCTCGCTCACTTTTCACAGAGATCTCACTACACCTTCCCTGAAAACCTCACAGTCAATCCAATGCAACTGCGTTACCTTGATCACAATGCGGCCCTGTAAACCCTGGCTCACATAAGCAACTGAAGGAGCCCCACTCGCCGTGACAGCGTCCCCTCCTGCCACAGGAGGAAAGGTGCTCCATTTTGGCGCACTGGTCATCAATACAGCCTGGCACAGAGTTGGAGGCTTCAGCTGGGGAACTGAGGTCATAGAGCTGAATGGAAGAAGAACATCAGATTGATTGATTTATTCTTTCAAACATGCAGAACAGAACAAATGACAACAACACACACATAATTACACATATCCAACCAATGCTAATCCAAAATCAGTTTGCTTACACCTATTACATGTTTGAATGGAGTAGGAAGAAGTCAGACTTATCCAGTCCTACCCCATGACATCATATTATACAAAATTTCATGCATCATTGGCTGCAAGCTCTACATAGATAAAACAGTGTTTCCTTAATGCCTTCTCGAATAGATCTCATTCTTGCATATATCTTGTATGACACATACATTTATATTTATATTTAAACTCCTCAATTCTAGTACTGTTCTTCATGTCCACACTTAAATTATTCCATAGTTTTACCCCACTTATAGAAATACAAAATCTTTTTTTGGTTGTACGTATAGCATGAATTTTATAATTTAACTGACCCCTTA